TCAAAAACTTAGGCGGCAGGTTACACTTTAGCGGAGTTTTCACTTTAGCAGCTTAACAGACGTCCCTTGCCATTTTTGTCAAAAAGTGACATTTTTTCACATTTCATAAAATAATCTGCAATAGCATATTTTCAATACACTGGAGTCATAAATACCTTCTCAAGATGAAAAGATATGAAAATAAGCCTTTTTGAAAATTCATGAATTTTGGCCAAAATGAGGGGCTAACCCCTTGCCATTTTTGTCAAAAAGTGACATTTTTTCACATTTCATGAAATGATCTGCAATAATCATATTTTAGATAGACTGGGGTCAAAGAGTTGAAATGATATGAAAATAAGCCTTTTTGAAAATTCATGACTTTTGGCCAAAATGAGGGGCTATAACCCCTTGCCATTTTTGTCAAAAAGTGACATTTTTTCACATTTCATGAAATGATCTGCAAAAGCATGATTTGAATAGACAGGGGTCATGATACCTTGTCAAGATGAAAGGTGATGAAAATGAGCCTTTTTAAAAATTCATGAGTTTTGGCCAAAATGAGGGGCTAACCCCTTGCCATTTTTGTCAAAAAGTGACATTTTTGTACATTTCATGAAATGATCTGCAATAAGCATATTTTTAATAGACTGGGGTCAAAGAGTTTAAATGATATGAAAAGATATGAAAATGAGCCTTTTGAAAATTCATGAATTTTTGCCAAAATGAGGGGCTAACCCCTTGCCATTTTTGTCAAAAAGTGACATTTTTTCACATTTCATAAAATAATCTGCAATAGCATTTTTTCAATACACTGGAGTCATAAACACCATGTCAAGATGAAAGGTTATGAAAATGAGCCTTTTTGAAAATTCATGAATTTTGGCCAAAATGAGGGGCTAACCCCTTGCCATTTTTGCCGAAAAGTGACATTTTGGTACAATTCATGAAATGATCTGCAATAAGCATATTTTTAATAGACTGGGGTCAAAGAGTTTAAATGATATGAAAAGATATGAAAATGAGCCTTTTTGAAAATTCATGAATTTTGGCGAAAATGAGGGGCCTTGACTGCCCCTTGCCATTTTTGTCAAAAAGTGACATTTTTTCACATTTCATGAAATGATCTGCAAAAGCATAATTTGAATAAACAGGGGTCAAAGACACCTTGTCAAGATGAAAGGATATGAAAATAAGCCTTTTTGAAATTTCATGAATTTTGGCCAAAATGAGGGGCTAACCGCTTGCCATTTTTGTCAAAAAGTGACATTTTTGTACATTTCATGAAATGATCTGCAATAAGCATATTTTTAATAGACTGCGGTCAAAGAGTTGAAATAATATGAAAATAAGCCTTTATGAAAATTCATGACATTTGGCCAAAATGAGGGGCTAACCCCTTGCCATTTTTGTCAAAAAGTGACATTTTTGTACAATTCATGAAATGATCTGCAATAAGCATATTTTTAATAGACTGGGGTCAAAGAGTTGAAATAATATGAAAAAAACCATTTTTGAAAATTCATGAATTTTGGCCAAAATGAGGTGCTAACCCCTTGCAATTTTTGTCAAGACGTGACATTTTTTTCACATTTCATGAAATGATCTGCAAAAGCATAATTTGAATAGACATTTTTTCACATTTCATAAAATAATCTGCAATAGCACATTTTCAAAAGACTGGAGTCATAAACACCTTCTCAAGATGAAAAGATATGAAAATAAGCCTTTTTGAAAATTCATGAATTTTGGCCAAAATGAGGGGCTAACCCCTTGCCACTTCTGTCAAAAAGTGACATTTTTTCGCATTTCATAAAATAATCTGCAATAGCACATTTTCAATAGACTAGAGTCATAAACACCTTCTCAAGATGAAAAGATATGAAAATAAGCCTTTTTGAAAATTCATGAATTTTCGCCAAATTGAGGGGCTAACCCCTTGCCATTTTTGTCAAAAAGTGACATTTTTGTACATTTCATGAAATGATGTGCAATAAGCATATTTTTAATAGACTGGGGTCAAAGAGTTGAAATAATATGAAAATAAGCCTTTATGAAAATTCATGACTTTTGGCCAAAATGAGGGGCTAACCCCTTGCCATTTTTGTCAAAAAGTGACATTTTTGTACATTTCATGAAATGATCTGCAATAAGCGTAATTTTAATAGACTGGGGTCAAAGAGTTTAAATGATATGAAAAGATATGAAAATGAGCCTTTTTGAAAATTCGTGAATTTTTGCCAAAATGAGGGACGTCCCTTGCCATTTTTGTCAAAAAGTGACATTTTTTCACATTTCATAAAATAATCTGCAATAGCATATTTTCAATACACTGGAGTCATAAATACCTTCTCAAGATGAAAAGATATGAAAATAAGCCTTTTTGAAAATTCATGAATTTTGGCCAAAATGAGGGGCTAACCCCTTGCCATTTTTGTCAAAAAGTGACATTTTTTCACATTTCATGAAATGATCTGCAATAATCATATTTTAGATAGACTGGGGTCAAAGAGTTGAAATGATATGAAAATAAGCCTTTTTGAAAATTCATGACTTTTGGCCAAAATGAGGGGCTATAACCCCTTGCCATTTTTGTCAAAAAGTGACATTTTTTCACATTTCATGAAATGATCTGCAAAAGCATGATTTGAATAGACAGGGGTCATGATACCTTGTCAAGATGAAAGGTTATGAAAATGAGCCTTTTTAAAAAATTCATGAGTTTTGGCCAAAATGAGGGGCTAACCCCTTGCCATTTTTGTCAAAAAGTGACATTTTTGTACATTTCATGAAATGATCTGCAATAAGCATATTTTTGATAGACTGGGGTCAAAGAGTTTAAATGATATGAAAAGATATGAAAATGAGCCTTTTTGAAAATTCATGAATTTTGGCCAAAATGAGGGGCTAACCCCTTGCCATTTTTGTACATTTCATGAAATGATCTGCAATAATCATATTTTAAATAGACTGGGGTCAAAGAGTTGAAATGATATGAAAATAAGCCTTTATGAAAATTCATGACTTTTGGCCAAAATGAGGGGCTAACCCCTTGCCATTTTTGTACATTTCATGAAATGATCTGCAATAATCATATTTTAAATAGACTGGGGTCAAAGAGTTGAAATGATATGAAAATAAGCCTTTTTGAAAATTCATGACTTTTGGCCAAAATGAGGGGCTATAACCCCTTGCCATTTTTGTCAAAAAGTGACATTTTTTCACATTTCATGAAATGATCTGCAAAAGCATGATTTGAATAGACAGGGGTCATGATACCTTGTCAAGATGAAAGGTTATGAAAATGAGCCTTTTTAAAAATTCATGAGTTTGGGCCAAAATGAGGGGCTAACCGCTTGCCACTTCTGTCAAAAAGTGACATTTTTTCGCATTTCATAAAATAATCTGCAATAGCACATTTTCAAAAGACTGGAGTCATAAACATCTTCTCAAGATGAAAAGATATGAAAATAAGCCTTTTTGAAAATTCATGAATTTTTGCCAAAATGAGGGGCTAACCCCTTGCCATTTTTGTCAAAAAGTGACATTTTTGTACATTTCATGAAATGATCTGCAATAAGCATATTTTTAATAGACTGGGGTCAAAGAGTTGAAATAATTGTCAAAACGTGACATTTTTTTCACATTTCATGAAATGATCTGCAAAAGCATAATTTGAATAGACATTTTTTTTCACATTTCATAAAATAATCTGCAATAGCACATTTTCAATAGACTAGAGTCATAAACACCTTCCCAAGATGAAAAGATATGAAAATAAGCCTTTTTGAAAATTCATGAATTTTGGCCAAATTGAGGGGCTAACCCCTTGCCATTTTTGTCAAAAAGTGACATTTTTGTACATTTCATGAAATGATCTGCAATAAGCGTATTTTTAATATAACTCTGCGTTCAGTGTTATCCCGGAGTACTTTTGTTGCGCGCGTTAGCCATTCATTAACGTAAATAAAAAACCGCGGTAATTTTGTGGCGGTTAACCGCTTCATATCTGAATGAGCCTTGATGATACATGCGTAAATCATTTCAACATTACACTAAGAAAAAAGTATCACACATAATGATTGTCTCTCACCTACCCGTATACGGTGCGATTTTTGTTTTCTTCAAATATATATGATTATACAGTGTATCTTAATATATATATATATAAATTCAAACAAAATCGTTGACCCGTTATTTATATTTACACACATTGTAAAACTTTACATTCAAATTGAATGTGCTTGAACGAAAATCATGCACAAACACACACACGAAAATGAAATCAGAAATGAAATCCAGTACATGTTAAAGCGGTTGAAAGGTAGGAAGTATTTTCGGAAATTCATGAAGTGTATAATATCTCTAATTGGATTATGAAAATTATAGTTTCTTATTCAATTATGTGGAACATAATTTTAGGCAGTAGAATTTGGCATTTCAGTTTTCAAAACTGCCTATGAAAAATCTGGAGAAATTATTACGATTATGTTATCCTTGAAATTGATATGAATGATGATCCAGATGACGAATACAGTATTTTGATCTGTTTAACAACTTATCCTTGTATTATTCAGGGCACATAATGAATTATATTTTCTTAACAAAATAGTTATTATCATATCGATAGAGCCAAACAACTGTCAATTGCGAGGATTATTAAAGATAGAAGTTATTTTTTTGTACTCCACGGTCCTGCTGATTCTCAATAGGAATCTTTTTTTGCTCTATGTTCCTGCCACACATGCTTTCATTAAAAGCATAGCTGTACATATAATACTTCATAAGAAATAAGATTTAGCCAAGGGGTATCGTTGGGTCATTTTCATGGGGTTGTCCAACCAAAAATCAGCACAAATTTTGCCAACAAGCAAGAGAGAAAAGAACTGTGATTTGCCGACAAGGCGCAAAATAAATATTAAATATAAAGAGAAACAAGTATTTAAAAAAAGGCATTTAATAATCAAATAAGATTTCGCCCTCCCCGATCCCCTTTCCTAAAGCGAAGCCCTTGGAAGAGCTTTTTTGCGACTTGGGGCTCTCTTTTCCACATGAAATGAGGCCACTCCATTGATATAAAACTAACGATTCCGCTCTTCTCTTGCACACTATAACATAACTCCACAAAATAATAACTGATTGTCATCGTGCTTAATGTAAGAAGAGGGTTTAAAGCTAAATAATCATGGTTTAGACCGTCAATGATGGTCCGCCTAACAAAACATAAAAGTTAACATTAACCCAAATATGTTCATACATAAAGGGAATGCCATCTGAACAATGCAAAACACTGCGTTGATCGATCGACGCGTGGCAAATCATGGCGCCAATCGTCTTCAAAGCATTGATTGGTCTATATAATTATGACTTTGTATGCTGTATATGACATCGAAATCACGCTTTGTGTGTGATAGGAATTGCCCAGCGCACGGGAGGCGTCATTTACCTGACATAAATTATAAGCATGCGTCAGCATCTTGAGCGATTTTGGACGCGGTAATTATGAGGGTGACATCGCGAACACTAATTTAATGTAAATGTACATGTACTACCATTGCGTCAAGTTAGTGGCGTACGCATCAATTGATTTTATTAGCTTAATGAAGACGAAAAAGGGGAAGTGAAATGACAACTTGTGTACAACGTGTATTAGTTTTATATACTAGCTTTCCAACATAAAAACTTTAATTCAATCGTCACATATATCCCACAAATCCCTTTATATTCGGCAGCTCTCTCTGCCGATTCCTAATGCTCCTTGGCGGGCCATTATTTGACAGAACCACAGTCGCAGGAGGGTCCTGCCACGCCACAGCCTTGGTGGGTTTGCCGGACCCCCTCTCCTCCCTGCTGATCTGATGAGAGGCTGGAGGAAGGGGCAGCGGAGACTGTGATCGGGCCTGAGGGTGGGGCGCGGTCATGGACCGCTGGTGTTGCGGACGGGAGCGGCGTAGCGATTGGTGTCTGTTGCTATGGTATTGAAGATGCTGTGCGTATTGATAAGGAGGAGGATGTGTTGCCGAGGTGACGGCGGAAGTTGACACGTTCCCCGGTAGATAGCGGGAGGAGTGGCGATGAGCTTGGGAAGGGAGGGTGTATTCGTTCCCTAAGCGATGTATTGGAAAGGCATCTGAGGAAGAACAAGAAATAAAGAAACATGACATTTTCGGTTGAATATTCAACAACAACAAATTCCCTCTTTTTAATTTGCTTTCAAAATATTAGACAATTAAGATCAACTTCGATTTTTTTTCTTCTTTAAACAATATAATGGACCGTACATTTGTAAAACCTCAATCAAAATGGGCAAAATGCTTACATGAGAACAGTAACTATGTAATGATTAATACTATGCGGTGAAATTTACCAATATGACTCTCTCTCTCTCTCTCTTTCCCTCATTAAACAAAAAGAGCTGATGACATTACAAAATAAATACTTTTTTTTCTCTCTCTCTCTCTTTTTTAAAAATATTTTTATATTCCCCACTCCCATGGAGATATCATCGATCATCCAAATCATCTCATCATCTTCATCTTGCTACCTCCGAAGAGGTAACAGGAAAGGATTAATCCTAACTGATGATACAAAAATATATACTTACTATGAGGCTGGTAAGGTGCATGAAGTTCGCTGATCTGGGTGTCCATACTAGTCTCTTTGTCCGGGACACCCGGCGACGGGTCATTCGAACCATTCTTTGTGTCCAAACTCTCGATGTGAACAGCCGGGACAGTGTTAGCACGCTCCAAGCCCCGTTTGGTGTAAATCATTTTTTCACCTCCATGGAACGAATGTCTTTTCCCTGGCATTTGGGCGGCATTTCGCCCTGCAGATCGCCCAACCATTTGATCCGGCGCCGTGACCTTCCCGTTGACTATGAAAATGCAAGTGTTGTTCTGCAGGGAGGGTGCGGAGTTTGGGCTTGGCAACGTCCTCGGTTTGGCGGGTAAAGAGCTGTGGACTCGCCGAGGGAGATGAGAGGTAGTTTTGTTGTCTGGCACTTTTTGAACGTATTTCGTTTTACTTTTTGGCGCTTCCCCTGCGTCCATTTTGCTTCCAGTTGAATTGTTATCGCTTCCTTCACTATTCGTACTCCTAACGCTGTTATTTTTACTATGGTCTTTTGAACTTTCGTCACTGTTCTTTGAATTGGTTTGCAACTTGCTCCAAGCCTTTCGCATGTCATCCTGAATTTCTCTTTTTGTTGGAGACACATAGTTCTTCGGAGTTTTCTCTATCGGTGAATTCGTATTCTCGAGTTTCATCCGATCGCTCTTGAGTTTGTTTTCCATATCGAAGTTCTGTTCCTTTGCCGCCATACTTCTCGTCCCGCGTCCGCTGATTGGACGACGAAGCGCAAGCACTGGTGATGGCTTCTCTTCAAGCTCCGCCTCCATCGTATCGTCCACGCCCATCCCCGTTAACACGCTCACCATCTCGCTCCGATCGCTGTCAAGGACATTGTTACTTTCCGGGTAGCCCCACCCCATTGCGATCCGCTTAGCCAATAGGCAGTAGGCAGCGTTCTCGGAAGTTGGTCTATTTTCTTGCACGCATTCTGTGAGTATATCCTCCTGATGACCGCATTGCACGAGCGCTTTGATGATGCGTTGATCCACCAGAGGTTTAGGGGTGGAGTCTTCGAAGCGGGAAGGGTAGAGACGCCGCGAGTATCCCCTGTTCATCCATGGATGCCGCATAATATCAGAGAGTTTGATGCGGTCTAGTTCCTTCGGTTCTAAAAGCCTTCTGAGAAGGTCTCGGCAATCTGAAGCATGCAAGTAAAATGGGAAATGATTATAGATTTCGTTCAGCAGAAGAGATTAGAATCGTTCGATGATAATTTTCACCTCATATGAAAACGAAAATAATGTGAAAGTTTTAAAAAAAGTTTTAAAAAGTCATGATGAAGATCGCAAGAAAAAGAACAAAACGTTTAACTCCACGGTGAGGGGTAATAGTAGCGTATTTGTCTATGTATTCGCAAATTTGGTCCGTCAGTTCCCTACTTTCCGAAGAGACACGTACCGTCCATGCATAATTTATGAAAGGAAATTGATTATAAAATGTTTTCATTAGATTTTACCTTTTGTAAGAGTATCTGGTATGGTGGCGCCCTGCATGATCCTTGCGTGTAGCTTACTCATGTTGTTGGGCGGGTCCACCACGAAGGGTAACTCCCCAGTCAGCATGGCGTACATGTTCACCCCTCTGAGGAACAAAACAAAAGGGAGTTCAAGGTTCAATTCAAGTTCACCTCAGATTGGCCCACCCACGAGACAACAAATAACAAAGTTATGTGACATGTTTCGAAATCGACATATCGGTCGTCGAGGCACATTCTGTCATGTTTCTGAGCGTTCACGAGATCGACAGCCCACGAGGTTAACATTTCGGTCTCGCAGCCCTTCTACTTTTCTGACATTTAACATCCCCCTCCCCCCCCCCCCCCCCCCCCGGCTCCTCCTCCCCTCCTCGCCACGATGGCAGGTATGTGGGCTAGGGGGCGATGAGGGTTCTTGTAATCATTTTCTACATGTGCCTCGCTACATATCATTATTTTGTCAAACTGAGGGCCTGCATGGGCGTGAAGCCGAACCCCCTCTCTAAATGATCCTGCCCTCCGACACCAAATGCGGTGAATCGACAAGGAGTCATTTTTGGAAGCATGATCATGACTTACATGCTCCATACATCAACAGATGGGCCATAGCTTGAGTTGCAGAAGATCTCCGGGGCAGCGTAGGCCGGAGAGCCGCATTGCGTCCGAAGAAACCCGTCGTATCCAAGAATATTACTCAGTCCAAAATCTAAAGAAAAATTAAAAAAAGAGTGAAATATATCTGCGTGAATGAATCGGCAGAATACCGCCCGGTTCCCCTTCTCCCTCGCATGTCCATACCTAGAAAGATCATCCTGGACATTTATTTCATTCATGGGCGTTAAATAGCCTTTTTCATTTGCATATGCAGCCCCCTCGATTGTCCACTATCTATTATGTATAACTTAATATTTGGCTGTAATTCCTTCTATTTCTATTTTTCTTAAGCGCTTAGTGACATATTTTGTGATAAGCGCTATACAAATGTTGTTAATTATTATTATTATTATTATTAATCGACTATATCATATTTACGCGTGGATGTCGCTGACAAAATGTTGCCAATAGGATTCCTGATTTTGTTTGTAAATATACTTTTCTAACTTGAGAATCATCGTCTGACAACAATTTGAGATTTGCCGACAAATTCTTGAGGTATTCCCCCACCCCCTCCCTCCCCCTGCATCACCATCCGAGAAGCTCGTGATAGCTGTTAAACGCTCTCAGTAATGATTCTACAGAAGTAGCAAGGAAAATGATCAACAACAGCCGCATCAAGCCCAAATGTTGCCCATCCATCTTCGATCATGCGTTGCTTTACATCATCATTTTATCAGCGTATTTCCTCCTTACCGTATATCACAATTAAATGGAAAATAGGATTTATTCAGGAGGAAAAAAAACACGAATGGAGCATAGACTTGTTATTAATCTGTTTACAAAACTTACCTATTACTTTCAGATTTTGGTCGTTATCCAGAAGAAAGTTCTCGATCTTGATATCCCTGCAATACAGATATTTAAAAAGAAAACAATTTGATGAAACAAAAGCCAGTTACAAATGCTAGTACCCCCCAATGATGGTCCATACATTACCCTTCCCCCTAATTACCTTCACCACCACATCACCCTAACAATCGTATTAACACTTTGATTGCTTTCGTCGCCTCTTTGCACGGTAGTTCGTTTGTCACGTGTGCAATTTCGCACAAAATAATCGACCACAGTATGAATTGTTTTGTGCAACACAATGGCTGTCCGAAATCAATTATACTTTGATAGGAGTATCAGAGAATTCGTCCAAAAATCGCTGTGTTCTTTCACATGAAAGGTATGTAGCCAAGGACGTCGACTGGTTTAGTTAATAGCCAAAAGCACTCTACGAACCTGTGAATGACGTCGAGGTGGTGCATGTGATCGACGGCGGTGACGAGTTGCCTGATATATCTTCTCGTCTCTCGCTCACTCAACTTTCTCCTCTTACACAGGAAGGACATGAACGTGCCGCCCTCTGCGAGCTCCATGACCAGGTAGTAATTACTAGCCGTCTCAAGAACCTGCAAGGAGAAAATGGTACGTCATAATTAACTCATAAAGATGGTTCCTAATAAACAGAGACATAGAGTACATTCAATCGCTGCCTTCATATTTCTGATATTGGAAAGAATTCATGATCCCGTTTTAATTCATTAGGACCCCAGCTACCTCACTTTGTCTTAAGGAATTATGAATACCCTTTCATTTGTTTCATTGTTGGAAAAACGAAGATACTTTCATTCCACGAAATTGCAAACGTTCACTCTTATTGTAAAGTTCGTTACCACAAAGGTTCTTTTTTTTATAACGAACCTAGGGGTGACAAACTTTCGGAACCTTTTGGAGAAACGAATTTGTAATGGCTACATAACACGAGACCGACAGTGTTGGTCTCACAGCCGGTCTGCAAATTTATCTGAGCAATTGTGAGGGTTTACGAGACCGACGGCCCATTAGACCGACTGCCAATAAGACCGACATGTCGGTCTTCCGTGCCCTTTATTAATTTATTTCAAAGGGATCATGAGACCAATATGCTGGATATGATGGGCTGTCAGTCTGATACCCGTTGGTCTCATAATTTATTATGAAGTCGGTCTACAAGGATGCCTCCCTCGACTAAAATAATTTTTTTAATAAATGAACTTTCAAAAACGGCCATAACTGATCTTTCTTACCTCATAGAGTCGAGCGATGTTGGTATGGCGCATCTTCTGAAGAACGGTTGCCTCTCTTCGTAGATTCTTACGAACGTAGTCTCGATTGGCGATCAACTTCTTATCAATTACCTTCACGGCAACCTGGAAAATATAAGGACGATGTTATTATCCCCGTGAGGAACTACCCCCGCCCCCTCCGAAAACTTTGAAATTACCAATATTCGGGCAACCGCCACCTCATAACCTGTCATATTCGGCAACCTAGTATAATTTGATGAAAATAATACATTTTCGCTTTGATAAAGTTTCATATTTTTTCGCTTGTGCGCTTTACTCTCTCGCAAAATATAGAAATTGGAAAGTATTATTTATCTGTAGTCTTGAACAATCATTTTATGTTCAATTCGATTGGGTGAGGATTCATTATACGTCATTACCAACACTCAAGGTTTTCCTCGGAAGAAAGACACACCCTTTCCTTGAACATGGACCCACATCCTATCTCACCCACCCGCACACAATCTTTGATCAACCTTCATTTGTGGTTTGCATGCGTTTAGCAGACAACACATCTACTAAGACCGAGCTAGCTATCGATCCTATCGATCGCAAGGGGAGAGAGCACTTTCTCCTAAATCTGAATCCAAGCGTGCATGGCTTATCAATATTTAACGAGTGCGTTTAAAACAAAATGAACATTCTTTGTCATTCATGCATTCCTAATATGAGCTGTTAAAAGGAATGATTGTTATTTCAGATTTCAACAAAATATTTATTTTTTGTACTTTCCAAAGTAATATGCCTATCCTGTAAACCCCCAAAATGTAAAGTCATGACTGTTTTTGCTTTATGAATTCACTTTCTCTTTGTCCCAAGGACGCAGACATGATTGTTTACGAAGTCATTCCAAAAGCAGTGGTGTATCTTTTAAATGTAAAATACCAGTAAGCAACTCTTCAACCTCTTTCTGGATTGTTTTGAAAGCTGATCTTTAAGTGTATAACGTGTAATTGAAAGTTTTACAAGAGGAAAAGATTGAGCTTAATAACTGTTCGTTTTTGGAAAAGGTTACGCGCAAGTAATAGCTTATATCCCAAAATGAACTCGAGAAAATAATCACTATCTATAGTGTCAGATTTAGATTTTGTTTCATAATCCATTTCCTTCTCATAGTCAAATGAATACTCAGTCAATGAAGTATGCATTGATTGTACATACAGAGAGGAAAGAGGTGAAATTCCCTGTAAGTCCGTTGCTTGACGATATCATATTATGTAATTCGTTATGACCTAAGTCAGATGAAATCATTAATCTTCATAAAATAGGACCGTTAGAAAAATGGGAATTAATGACCCATGGCGGAGCTTCAAGGGGGCGCGAGCCACCCTCTTCCCCATAAGATTGGTGAAAAGAGAAGAAATAGAACAGGCGAGTAAGTGCGCGTAAGGGAAAGGGAAAAGGGGGAAAAGAGACGAGGAAAGAAGACGCATTGACTACCTCCACCCTAATCAGCTGCCTTTTTATTTCCTGGGGAAGATACCTCCCCCCTGCCCCTCAAGATACCTCCCTCCCTCCCCCCCCCCCCCCTCATCATTCCCCTCCCTCAATGGGTGGACTCACGTTACACCATTGACAATGGTCTTACCTGTTCTTGAGTTAAGATGTGAGTTCCCAGACGAACTTTGGCGAAGGACCCTTCGCCGATGACATCTCCTAAGATGTAGCCCCCGACTTTCTTCCTAACCACCATGCCGTCCGATCTCGACTTCCTTCTTCTCCTCTCAGGCTGACCACCATCTCGACCACCATCCCGACCACCATCTCGACCACTGTGGCCTCCTCTATCCTCTTTCTTCTCTCCGCCATCGCCAACGAATGCGACGTCGCCACCGACGTCGCCATTGGACGACGGCGCTGTCTCCCTGCCGAGTGGGTTGACGGGAGCCGGGGACATGGTGGGATTAAGATGCGGGCTTGGTAGCGCTACAACCGCGCTAGCCATATTCCATGTTCATGATGATAATGTCCTTATTTAATAATTTCCAAAGAGATCCTTTGGAATCTACTTCAGACGCTGCGGGAACATCGTTAAATGTTTTCCTTCTTGGGTGACGGAAGGCGACATCTCCGTCAGAGAGCGTAAGACTACTTTCAAAATTCCAAATATCAAGATCTTTTGTACGCCTTTGTTCGAACCCTCTTACGTGAACCCGCGTTCTCTATCAAATCAATTCTTCAAATGAAGATTCCTTTTCACAACTATCAAAACATTTTGCTCGAAAATTCCAATATGTGACCAAGAATGTTCTTAGGAGAGCGTACCATGCATAAATATCGCTTGATAAATCGCGCAGACGACAGGCCTGTTAACGATAAACTTTCACTTTTTCTTCAAGCTGGTGAAACGTATACTACACCCGCAGTGGCTTGGGGTTGTTCCTAAGGAAGGGGTATATAACACATCACCCCTTCACGACCGCAAAACCGCTATAAAAGAGGCTGGGACCCTCCTCCATTATACCCCATAGTGAAAAGGTATGCGTCGATCGATACTTCGCGCTAAAATGGCGATCAATAACCGACTGAATGGCCAATTCATCTTGCTATCCAAGGGTACAAAATCTGACAAAAAAGACGAACAAAACACTTTTAAAGCGGGGCCTGTTCGATACTAATCATACTCGTTGTTTCCCCCTGTCCCTACCCCCTTCTCAAGATGTATATGTGATAATCTATTGATAGCCCAAGCAAACATGCGGGCCAGTAGACTTTATAGTATTGTTCAGCCCAAATCAATCCATGTCTTTGTATTTTGTATAAGGGTTGTACGTGTAATTATCGAGGGTTGGCGAAAGAAGTGTCTTGAGGCGGTAGATTGGATCCTCGGAAATTGCTTTGTAAGATATTTAGCGTCACTAACTTAGCAACCACTAGAAGCGATAGATAATTTGAAATGTGTATTATCCGTTAGTGGAAATTTCTGTTTAATTGCAACCAAATTAAAACAAATTTGATAGAATGTATGTACAGTTGTACTTTAAAAGGGTTTGGGCCCTTATCGCTTGAAAGAAAATTGCGTCATCTCGTTCGCTTTAGTTTATTTTCTGGGTGTGTGTGTCTCGTTCTCTCTCTCTCTCTCTCTATCGATCCATCTTCATCTTCTCTTTCATTTTTTTCCAATTCTATTAATAAACATTTTCCCCTTTCCATCCCCTCTCTAATTTTTAGTATCACCTTAGTCCAGTTTTAATCACTTTCTCCATTTTCATGCATCCCTTCAGTCTTTCATTCATTTAACCTCCCCCTCAGCTTTCCTTCTCTTCTCCCTTCCCATTTTTCTTGTTTTCATTGTCCCTTCTTTCTCCTCTAAATCCTCTTCATAATTGTGCTCTTTCTTTCTTCCTTTCCTCTTCCATTCTTTTTCTTCTCCTCCTTTTCCTTCTTACTCTCCCGTCTTCTTCATCCTCTCCGCCTGCTTTCTTTTCTTTTCTCATCCTTTTACTTCTTCATCCTCTCCTCCTTTCTCTTCTCTTCTTTTCTCATCCTTTTTTACTTCTTCTTCACCTCGCCAGGTATAGACATTCATCCTTCACCATTCCAATAGGCATCCATAATAAGACCAGCAGATGACAGATTACAATTAATCATTTAATGTGGAAGAATCTATCTATCATTCCATTTTCTACACAAGATTAAGCAAGTCCAAACTTCTCATTCAATAGAAATCTCACATTTTTGGACAGACTTCTACATTTTTGTTTTACTTGTACAGTACCCAATTACAGTGATTTAGGGGGGAATCTTATCATTGATCATAAGAACAAAGATTAAACTCAATTTTAAAGATCTTCAGAAAAATAAGACATTCCAAAATGATTTTTTTTTTTTTTTTTTTTTTTCTAAAGAAGGGAGAAAAAAAAGACGAAAAACCACCAATAATTGTCATGGACACAATATAAAGAAAACACAAAGCGAGAAAGAGGACTGCATGGCATTTGATTCTCATAAATCATCCATGTATTTAGCCAACCATTCTCTTTGAGATAATTGTCACAAAATAGAACTTATCAAAGTACAGTTGTCTGAAGAAGACTCAATTCTATGGTTGAGCCAGTTGAGATAATTGTCACAAAATAAAACTCATCAAAGTACGGTTGTCCGAAGAGACTAAATTCTACAGTTGAGCCAGACATACCCTCAAAGTGATTGTAAAGTGGTCATACAGGCAGCTTTTAGACCTATCCACTGATTCAAACAAAAACTGAACTAGTTGCATAATAAATAAATACCTAACCCTATTACCTAATGTGGGACTGTATCTGATACATGTTGTCTTAAATCCTGTCTGTACTAGTTTGGTCACTGACAGGTGGCTATCTCATCAACTCAGCTCTCAATGAACATAAGAAAAAGAGGATCATGGGGGACCAACAGGCACCGCTTAGGCATTGTTTTCTGTATAGAGGGAGCAAGTAGCTACAAGTAGTACAGTGGGGGTTTAATGTAGATAATCTTGCAGTGTACTTATCACATTTCTGAGGCATCCCATTTCTTTCCTGAAAAAGATCAAGTATCTATACAACTTCAATTCACTCTCTCAACCTTAAAATTAGTTGAACTATATCGAATATGAATTTTAGTGGATATTTGATTACTAGTAATATGTAATGAAAGCTGGGTAACCAAGAAAGCAAAATTATTTCCTCAGTCATGATGAAATTATTCAAAATTGTGAATATATAGAACGTTTCTCCTTTTGTTTTGGTCTCTTTGGGTCATATAAAATTGGCAAAAAGTTCTTGAATCAAAGCAATTTACAGTACTGTAATCAAACATTCTGAAAAGAGGATAACATTTTGACTTGTGAGGGGAGTTTCCTGGATTAACAAATTTGCTAGCGTGGCAAGTCACGTTGCATATGAAAAGGTTCTGTTCATAATCATGTACCATAACGGATCTCTAGTTAAAACACTGAGCATATGGTATCTCTTTCTCTCTATGACAACTAGTAAATCTTCCCAGTGCTTCCTTTATAAATCATAAGGGGGTTTGGGAAAAGACATGATTTGGTCAAGCTCACGCTGAACCATACGATCATTAAATGCAACAATGTAGTTTTGGTATCAGATTCAAAAGCCTGCACCAAATTGCCCCACAGATCTGTGACAGTTCTTAGCAAACCTCCACGTTACGTAGCCTCTCCACGATAAGCACAAGAGCTCAACTTGAAATATGCCTTTTAGTGAATGTCGTTTCCAGGGTTACATGGTTCCCTTGGGGACATGTTTTTCCTGATGTTAAATCTATGCCATCTCTAGGAGTCAAAGGTCGTGGGCTTGATGGTGACACCTTTCCTGATTTGACCCCAACCGATCAACCTATGAGAGAAGGGCAAGAATATTCTTAGTAATTTAGTCACTTTACTACTAACATGAATGTACTTAAAATGTTGGGGGGGAGGTTCTTCCTTTTATTTGTTTAACTACAAATAACCCATTCAACTTAATTCTCTCTTCTTTTTTCTTCTCATTACACATATCAGTCATGAGTGCATTTCAATTCAGAATATAGGATTGTGAGCAAAAAGTTTAGCCTACTTCCATTTCCACTTTACATCTATGAATTCAAAGCCTCGTTGCTGTTAACGGTCAAACCAGTCTGCAATGACCACACAAAGGACAATTGGTCACTGTGGAAAGGAGGCCTATCTAGGTCGCTGACAAATTTCTATTTTTTGAGGCTCTTCATGATCATTTTGAGGTCCAATTTGTTAGGGCTTCATTATTACACCATATCACAGACATTGATAACACGTAGGGCCATAAATCTCATATTTGTAAAACTGGAAACATTGTTAAGCAATGCTTTTAATACCCACAACCTCATGATTGAAGAAAAAAAATTAAAGGCTGTCTGTACTAGTTTGGCAAGGAGGGATTAGACCACCCAGGGTGGTCACTGACAGTTGGCTATGTCATCAACTCAGCTCTCAATTAACATAAGAAAAAGAGGATCATGGGGTACCAATGTTCACCGATTAGGCATTGTTTCTATATAGCGGGAGCAAGTAGCTAGTAGTACAGTGGGGCTTTAAAGAAAAATATCAAAACTGGCTTACCTCCAATGTTTCTCCACTCTCCTACTGAGGGCGATCTTCTCTCCGATCTCCGTGCAGACTGGATTCGTCAGAACGATCTTGGCCAAATCAGCCTTGACGGCCAGCACTCGACCTCCCGTGGACAGTGACCCAATGTTGACCATGAGCACCTCGCCCTTGGTCAGCTTTTGAACCTGTATGGTGTAAAACATCCAGATGTTGTAATAGCTGTATTGCTAATTAGCACAAATCCACAGGGTTTTTTAACATGGAGATGCTACATGCTGTGCATTATAGAATAACTGCTCTGCGAGCCAGGAGGGGTTTTGTCAAAAGATTTTATTCCTGTTATAAATGAATACATCCACCTGTAAAATTTAAGTCTCTAATTGTGGAACTTACAGAGGTTAATGGATCTCATTGATTTCATTAATTTCTCTATTTATTTCTAATCTTTTGTCAGGGTAGCCCATTCACCAATAAGTAGTGGTCTTCCATGGGGCCCTGAATAATTATGTTTATGTCAAAAAGCATAACGTCTATACAGAACAGTTAAAATAAAATTCCATTAATCTGCTAATTTGAACTCTACTTCAACAGGTTTGTTGAAGTTTGCATTTTATGCCTTTTGAAATAACTTTTACAAAATATTTTCAATGATGCTAACGGCTTTCCATAATTGTTAAGTCCAACTTAGAGATAAGTTCAACTTAGGATCTTTGTGAAACACCCCCCTGGTTTAAGAGAGGCTAAATAATACAACATTCAACACACAGCTTCGTGATCATAAGTTATAGTAATGATTTAGTGAGAACATTTCTGACTGACTGACCTTAGCTCCTTTCTTGTCTCCTTCGGTCCTCACACCGAGCAGCCTCCTGAGAAGGAAGTACGAGATCTCAAGCTCTGTGTAGATATCAGGGAGAGCCCCTACAGCTCCCAGCACCTGACCCACAAGACGATCAGCTCGACATAGGGTGGGGTCAATCTTTGTACCAACACCTATAGAGAAAGATAACAGAAACAGGAATGTAAGATATATTAACAGTAGAAGTAGGGAAAGCATAGTATTTTTTTAAGATCTGTATATAAAGATATCTGGGAGAGCCCCTACAGCTCCAAGCATCTGACCAACAAGACGATCAGCTCGACATAGGGTTGGGTCGATCTTTGTACCAACACCTATAACATAAGGATAAGTTAAATGTGTACTATAGAGCAGCATTACCACTTTTAGGTCTAAATAATAAAAACAAACTGTATCATGGAAGAAAAATTATATTAAATTAGAAAACATCTGATATTAAACTAAATCCCTTTCATCCAAAATTCTTTTTGAACTTCCTTTCTTTTTCCCTCCTCACCTTTCGAACCCTTCCTTCTCTAATTCTTCTGTTTAAACTTTTCCTCCCTCTTCTTCTATTCCATATCATTCAAATTCTATATGTATCCATTTATCTCAGTTCATCTTCCGTGTACCAATCAGGTAAATTAAACATACATGTTTAACCCATTGGTAACTAGAGATTTTGTAAAAATGGCCTTTTACTCACTGGAAGATGTTTCAATATTGCTCTCATTTTGACATTGTTCTTTCTATACAGAATCCTACTTAAGACATAAGGATTACGCACGGCGTAACATTATCACAGTAGACCCTAGAACAGATACTATAGCTCGTTGAAAATGGACGGGCGGTTTTGTTGCTAAAGGGATAATTCATAAATTTTTGATAAGAGCAATTCTTGACTCCCGCTGTCACAGTTCTTACCAATCAGGCCTCCTGGAACAGCAAACTGGAGATCATTCTTCTCAGCAAAGAGAGACACAATCTTAGAGAAGATGGGTCTACACTGAAGCTTGCCTTCGCTGTCCTTGGACACGATGCCAGGCCGGACCTCAATCTCCTGCCCAACCTGTCGTATAAAAATAATAAATTACGATTAAAAGGTAGTATAGTCAAACCTGTCTATAGCGACCACCCACGGGAAACTCAAAAAGTGATCTTAATAGACAGGATCCTTTAGTACCTGCTTCAATGAGAAACCATTTTCAAGGGAAACATAAAATGTGGTCTTTGTAGACAGGTGGTCACTAAAGCAGGTTTGAGTGTAGCTGGTGTAACAGGTTTTGCATATCTTAGAACATTAAAAGAACTATAACCTATATATTTCAACAAATAGATGTTGAAATTGTTAACTAGATGCTGTCATATAGCGAATATCAAGATTCTACGCCTCTGATTCAATTGGTCAAAATAACAGCAGGCATGAAACTCAGTACCGACTGCTGGGCAGTGGAACAAGAAATATTGACTTAGATAAGCTCTACATATTCATACAACATAAGGACACGATGGATGCACATTATGTTAACAATGGATATGCCCTGTGATACAGGCGCACGTTTTCACCTCATGGGCACGGCACAATGTTGAGATTAATTTGGGCAATAGCTTAAGCCATGTCCCTCAATGCAGTCAATATTATATCAACCCTCAATGTCTCTGCTTTGTCTCAAGGAGACTACAAAAAAAGTGAGTTCACACACTGTCAGTCATGAATAAGTGTAAGTCATGAATCTCACGATGCGACCAAGAAACCAAAGCCCACATTTTTTTAAAGGCAAAGAAAACTTTGGATATTAAAATCTTTATGAAATTTATTTTCATCAGCATCTATGGATTAGATTAAAAATGCTCTGCAACCTGCTTGATTCAGTCATATCTCAGACATCTGAGCAGTTATGTTATTGCTAATGATGTATATCTCACCTTCAATACACCTCTTAGGATACTGCCTCCAGCCACGCCCCCTTTCAGATCTTTAACTTCACAGCCGGGCTTGTTCACATCGAAAGATCGGATCACTGCAAAAACGATATCAAGAACGATAAAGATATATACTTTCAGATCTAGCTTTGAATAAATCCTAATTATTTATTGGGGAAAGGGGAACATTCTTCAAAAGAATTCATCAATGAACTAACATTACCAAATAAAACAAACAGAAATGCATGTATCTTGTGCTGGTAAATATTACAAATAACATGCAGCAAGGTCTATTATCAGATGATAGGTAGTATTTACAGCTTTCAAATTGCAATTGAAATGAGTAAATAAATTCACATCTTGGATACTAGGGTCACGCTTATAAATGAGTAAATTCTCGAACCAATCACACAGTTACAATTGCCCAGCTCCAAAGTATACAGTTGTTATTGGTGTCCAACGCAAGTTGAGGTCATTTTGGGTGTTTGCAATGTTTGATACTGACCCAGAGCTATCCTGACTCTTTCATTGTGTGACTTTTGCCACGTGGACTTGCAAGATTAGATACAGAAATGAACAGATTTCTCAAACTCTAATCGTTGTGTGTTCATTAACTTGGGTGCTCGGAAAGCAAATACACACTTGTAGGTAAGCGTTACCTGACCTAAGATTTTTAAGTCCAAGGTACTGCTCGACTCAATGATCTGATGCCTCTCACGTGTGTCAATGACAGTACATCCCATTTTTTGTTTTTAGTTTTAACACCCTTTGTCAATAAAAAAAATGAAAATGGCTGATAAAACATTAAGATAATTTCTCTTGTGGTAGAAGCTTACCAATGAGTCTAGGTTCTGAAGTGAAGTCTCGGACTGGAATAGGGATCTTCTTGGTGATGTATTCGCAGATGACTTCTATATTATGCTTCAGCTGAGCTGAGATTGGAATGACTGGGGCTCCTTCCGCTACGGTACCTGCAAAAAGATTAGAAGAAATAATATAATAATAATAATAATCTTTTAAAGTCCACTCCAAATTTTATTTTATTAAGTTAAATCGAAAATGGAAATTCTTTTTGCCCAATTGATTGTGAGCCCGGCAGCCACTGAGCAGCGCCGGATCGACGTTGCTCTATCCCTTATTGTTGAACGCCAAACAAGGTAGCAGCAGTTCCCGTCTTTTAACGTCTTTTGGTATGAATCGGCCGGGGTTCGAACCCACGACCTCCCGGTTGTGAGGCGGACGCTCTACTGACTGAGCCAACACACCAAAGCTTAATTATCACCTTAGATTTCCTTTAGTTGAAATGAAACTTTGAGAAGGAACTTAAAGTAGTCACCTGAAGAATCAAAAGTGTTTTGAATTGATGCAGAATTCATATCATTGCAAAGGGGAACCCTTCCATCCATATTTAATTTTACCATAATTATCAGTTGTCGTGAATTTTCTTTTGGTGACTACTTTAAGATTCAACAGGAGACAGGAGTTGGTCCAGCAGTATGTTCAGCTCTCTGTCTTTGCCTACTAACCGACTCTTACCATCCTCCAATTGAAACTGAGTCACGTCTTTCAGATGGTGACATTAAAGGTCAGTCCAAAGATGTAAAACTTTCATATCCGATTGATACACATACTGTCAAAAACCCAAATACACACACTTTCAAGAGGATGCATATAATTACAATGTTTATACAAGAGGCCCCTGGTCAACATTGAATAATTATTATGGTAAGCAAACATCAAAACCAAAATTGATAGCCTGGAGTCTTAATTCCTATTGAATTACTTGGGATTGTTTTTATATTTAGAGGTCACAAAGAGTCATTAAAGGAACAAATTTCATTTATAACTCAACACATTTTAGTTACCCATCTAATAGCTGGGAAGTTTCAGTAACTAAATTGAGAATATTGGAAAGTATGATTTCATATATCAGGCTGCTATGGTGCCTAAATAAATATCTAATCATAGGCGAACCATTGGATTTAACTGTACTACTATCTTCAACAAAGATTATATTCTCTTCACTCTCACCTTGAACAAACTTTAGGATCTGTTCGTATTGCTCCCTCGCTTGACTCTCCTTGACCAGGTCAATCTTGTTCTGAAGGATAAGGATGTGCTTGAGCTTCATGATCTCAATAGCAGCCAGATGCTCCGATGTCTGGGGTTGGGGGCACGATTCGTTGCCAGCTGAAAATACCAGATATTAGGAAAAGATAGTGAGGTACGTACTACTTAAATCTTTTTATTGAAGAACAAAACTTAAAGTGGTTTTAAAATAGAGATACCTTCAACTACTAAGGTATTTAGAAGAACTAATCAGGCAAGATTGGTACTATTAATGAACATTACTAGCTGATTCATCATTATATTACAAAGCTACAGCACTAGATGAAGGAAGAAGAAATGAAAAAAGAGAGCAAGAAAGGAAAGAAGGAAGACAGGGAAAATCTGTGTTTCCCTCCATCACAAGAAAATGGATGGATTTGCATTGGATGAACAAATTTGGAAGTGAGCTTTTCACAGGTTGGTTTTAATTGCTAGTTTAAAGAATTTAAAATTTCCATTGCTGCATTTTTGTTTTAAAGTCACTTTTGGTAGATGGTGCATATAACGCACATCATGAAATGGGTTTACACTCAGCATTACGTATATATTGAGGCTTTCTACACTTACATTAAAAAAGGATTATTATTATTATTATTATTATGAATTTCAGACAGTTTCTTTATCTTACCAATCAAAAGTAATGCTGCGTCCATGACAGCTGCTCCATTCAACATAGTTGCCATAAGAATGTCGTGACCGGGACAGTCTACAAATGATACGTGCCTGGAATAGAAAAAAAGAATTAATTAAAACCTTGCAAGGTCAAACATATACATCTTACTTAAAGTACGACTTTTGCTGTCCCTCTTCCCCACCACCCCCCTCTTCTCCCACCCCCACCTCCTCCTCTCTTTCTCACTCTCTCCCTCCATCCCTAAATACAAACTCTGTTTACTCCTTTTCTCCTGCCATTCAAAATATTTGTCTATGTTTGGGTATTTCTCTATTCCCTGCAAATTTATATTATCATCAACTTCTTCCTTCATGTTTCTGTATTTCTCTATCCTCCAATTTCATGTAATCATCAAATTCTTTTTTGTCATGTTTGGGTATTTCTCTATCCCTTGAAGTCTCTATATTTACCTGTGTAGTCTGAATTTTCCTGAGCAGCCTGTTCTATCGCAGAGAAACGAGTCATCCTTGTTACTGCCTGCAGACCTGTAGCATCCAGGCCTAGGGCAGGCTGGACTATCGCACTTATAAACCTAGTCAAAGAAGAAGAGAGTACTGAAGTTGTGACATTGTGATCAAGTAGTAGAGACTAGACCATCACATTCACAAACTTTGTCAAAAGATCAAGAACATTTAGGAGTCAAGTATTTGATTAACTACTTCATCATGTATCTGAATATTTAATTTTGAAAAACTGAATCATGATAAACACCCAAGTTTCATATTGTGATATTACAGGTATAAACATTTTCACAGACTCCACCAAAAAGGTATTTGATTATAAAAGTAAAGTAAAGTACTACTAATTGTTACATAAATGCAATTTGAATATCTAAAAAAAGAAGAAGATATGTTTGGTGTATTAAATGTGGAGTCCATCTGATTATTTTTTCTTTTCTTTTCACTTTGCATACAGCCCCACATTATCAAAAAACTAGATGGAACTTCGACTGCGCGCAGTCGAAAATGTGCCTCCGTCATAGAGCAATTTTACAAACCAAAACAGAAGAAATTTTTCGAATTCAAGTTCAATTGTAATCCATTAACAGGTTCTCAGAATATTGTGATTACGAGCTATTTTTGCATACATGAGCCAATGACCTTTGACCTTATGAACCAAGAATCTACTCAGTTCATTGGCTCTGCAAGAAACATACATGACCTAAGTTGGCAGGAATCCATCAATCGGTTCTTGAGATAACGCGATCACGAGCTGTTTTTGCATACATAATGTGCCCTGTGGCCTTTGACCTTTGATCTTGTGACCCCTACATCTAATCAGTTCATCGGCTCTGCAAGTAACATACATGACCTAAGTTTGGCAGCAATCTATCAATCGGTTCTTCAGATAACGCGATCACAAGCTCGTTTTGCATACATAATGAGCCCTGTGGCCTTTGACCTTTGACCTCGTGACCTCAAAATCTAATCAGTTTTTCGGCTTTGCAAGTAACATACATGACCAAAGTTTGGCAGCAATCCATCAATCGGTTCTTCAGATAACGCGATCACGAGCTCGTTTTGCATACATAATGAGCCCTGTGACCTTTGACCTTTGACCTCGTGACCCCAAAATCTAATCAGTTCATCGGCTCTACAAGATACATACATGACCAAAGTTTGGCAGGAATCCATCAATCGGTTCTTCAGATAACGCGATCATGAGCTCGTTTTGCATACATAATGAGCCCTGTGACCTTTGACCTTTGACCTCGTGACCCCAAAATCTAATCAGTTCATCGGCTCTACAAGATACATACATGATCAAAGTTTGGCAGGAATCCATCAACCAGTTCTTCAGATAACGCGATCACGAGCTCGTTTTGCATACATAATGAGCCCTGTGACCTTTGACCTTTGACCTCGTAACCCCAAAATCTAATCAGTTCATCGGCTCTACAAGATACATACATGACCAAAGTTTGGCAGGAATCCATCAACCAGTTCTTCAGATAACGCGATCACGAGAACGGGACGTACGTACGTACAGACGTACGTACGTACGTACGTACGTACGGACGTACGGACGTACGGACGGACGGACAACCCGAAAACATAATGCCTCCGGCTACTTCGTAACGGAGGCATAAAAAGCAAGCAAACAATCTAAAAAGTCTGTGGGTGATATTCCAAAACTGTGTTCTCCCAAGTTTCAGTAAAAATGTTTTATTGTCAAAATAAATCCATTGTAACTTTTCAATTAAGGCCAAATAGAGATAGATGCGGATAGATGTCTTCCGCATCCACATCCACTACTGCACAGTCAAGAACCACTTGACCTGTCACAAATTAAATTTGTAACAACATTAAAATATCTGTCCCTAAAATTATAAAAGCTGGATTTTTTTCTCTCAAATATCCCCACTTTATGTTGATAAACACATATCCCTCTACCTTAGCATTTGCATAGCCTAGCTTGATGGTAATATTTCTCTCCAACTCATTCTTGAATCTGACAGTCTGTACACCCGAGATGGCCTTCACGACCGTTGACTTTCCGTGGGCTACATGACCAATTGTTCCTGTAGAAGAGAGAAAAATACATTAAATTAGGAGTTTGATACAAGTTTAGTAGTTACCCCTGGCTAGTTAAACCAATTAATGTTAATGGGTATGTACAAGTTAAAACTTGGCACAGAGTAAAGATTCTTATTCAGAGCTAATAAATAGTACCTCCAAAAAATCATTTGAAAATAAAAGGATATTAATGTACATGAATGGGTGCACTTCCCTTTAACCCTTACTCTCTAGGTAATTAAATCGGATATACTCTAATAGTTTTTTCGACTGAGAAATGCTTACCTATCTTGTAGACTGTAGGAATTTAAAATGAAATGAGTTCACAACTTGTGAAAGAGATATTGTGAAATGTGATTTGTATACGGATGAACAAAGAAACAAGCACCTATTATCCACAATATGTATCATGACATTGCATATAACGAAGCTTGTTGGTAAACCCTGTGGCACTGTAAATAATATAAGGGTTAAATAAATTGAAACTCACCAATATTGATAGTTGCTTGTCTGCTAATAACTTCAGGGGAGAGTGGATTCAATTTGGAGATATCCTGTAAAAATTAAAAAAACTATTTAAAACATGTAGCCAAATATTGAGGAAATTATTGACTTCTAAGCAAGAGAATCTACATGTATGTAGCTTTACTGGCATTCACTGGTCACCCTCGTAAGGCCCCTTTAATTGAGAAGGTACAAAGAAGAGCCAGAAAGTTAGTTCCAGTGTTCAAGCACCAACCCTATCAAGACAGGACTCAACCACTCCTGCATGTATTCTCTGCAATACTAATGGTAGTCCGTCTTTGCCGAGGAGTTATCGCTCATATCATAATGTGCAAAAGTGCGGCAAGTCTCTGTACAATTAAAAAAGTCAATGTGAAATTAATCAAGAAAAACATCGCAGAATCTGTTTTTGATATTTTCGCATCGCCAATGCACGGATCAGAAATCAGAATCGTCCACGAAAAGTCTGCGGACGATCCTTAATTTTGCAGATGCGTCTGTCAGCGTTTACGAAGAAGATCCTCGTTTGTGCGGACGATACCTAGAGTCAAGACTATTCTGATTCTCGAAAGAATAACTGCCGACGGGGGGGGGGGGGGGGGGGGGGGGGGGGGGGGGGGGGGGGGGGGGGGGGGGGGGGGGGGGGGGGGGGGGGTAAATTTTCATTTTCTTTGTAGATCTAGATCTATACTTAGACCTATGTTCTTGTTTTTGTTTTTTTGTTTTTTTAATATTTCATAGGGTCTAGGTAATAGGTTATGATAATATGTGTTAGGTCTATCTTATAATTGTACATGTAATTTTTATATTGCGCACGGACCAACAGAAGAACAGCCTTTGGCTGAAGTTGGTGCCGTGCAAAAATAAAATAAACTGAACTGAACTGAACTAGAATCTAGACTAGATGATAGATCTAACAAGTTAGGTCTACTGCCAGTGGCAGTGGATCTTGGATTAAATCCAAACAAACAAAAAAGTTTAAAAAACATTACAATTCATAAGAATCAAGTGCCAGCTATGGCTATCTTTTACGATGGAGTTAAATCTTAAAGTTAAACACCAATGTACCACAAGCACCCGACATGCAACATTCACTTCACCGCGACGTATAGGGCAGGGAATACGAATCGCTCTTAGTCAGCGTGCCCAGAGCTTCGGCGCCGCGGCGCTCTGAAAAGGAGAGGTAGATTCTACGCATGGTACGCCAGCTGGTGCATGCAACCGATTCACAGAAAGGCAATACGCCGACAAAAGTGTGGTTTTCTTGGTTACTACGACAGAATATATCATTTTCTTCACATATATTATCCTTTTGAAATGTCATATTAATCTTTCATTGACTAAAATGAATAATATTCCCTGCAATCACGGTAATTTATATTACATACCAAATTGTCCAAATCTTGTAATGCCAGATGTGAATTCGCCGGTCCCTCCATCGCCATCTTTTACATGTGAATGACCTGTCACCCGGAAGTACTTATTTTAGGATGATGAAATCATCACACGATGGATGGGAAATGTAAATATTCATGTTAGTCTTAATTATGTCGACACAAAAAGAGATGGCATGTTGAAGTATACATGTATTCCGTCAATATCAAGGAATAAACAAAAGATGGACACGGCTTTGTGACACAATTCATCATTGACACGTCAGAAGCGGAAGTGGGGAAGGGGAGGTGGGGCGAAAGGAATCGCGGGAGGGGCCAGGGGGGCACAATATTGCGTTGTGTTTACTGGGGCCGTGACCGACTGAGGCTACGTTCATGCTTAAATTTTGAAGGCAGAATGAGCGATCTGAAACGCTCATCGTAAACGCTCATCGTGATCGCAGTTCCACGATGTAGTGTTCATGCTTACTTCTCTGGCTCCCCCAGGCAATTCTCAGTGGTCTTCCAGCTGGATTCGCAAACCTTCACTGTGCATGCTACGTAGACCCACTAGAGGTCAGTGCGTTGACCCCATTTAAACGCGTGTACAAATTGTAAACGCATCTTTTTGTGAGTTTACGATCGGCGATCGTGATCGCCGTTTTCGGTGATTCTACAAAAGTGAGCTAAGACGCAACGTGTTTTAACTAAACGCGTAACAGATGCCTGATTCTGGCCGTCAAAATCAAGCATGAACGCGCCCTGAGTCAGGTGGTAGACAGAGCTGAACTGACCAATGAACGTGCGGCTAGACCATGTCATATATATAGCTTTTAACCCTTACTGTACTGGGTGGGGGGGGGGGGCTGGGATCGAGGCCCCCCCCCCCCCCTCGACATTTTCGGAGATTTGCGCCGCAACCGCTTGGCATTTTGATTGTCGTTTAATGACTTTTCCCTCAATTTTTACACACATTGTGATACCATTTTCGTCGAAATCGGATATACCTGTAAGGTGTTACATAACCATTAGTATGCGCATGTCATCAAAAAGTGCTATATAATTGCATATGATATATTCATGTACAAGCAGAAATGACTGTGAATACAGGTTTAGATGTATTTCTTCCTAAGTGGGAGATATTATTGATATCAAATTGCTTTATATGTTTCTCAAAGTAACTTGATGTATTCCAGAACAAAAGAATATATTAGAAATAAAACAATAGATATAATAAGAAATAAAAAAAACAATAAAATACATAAGAAAATAAATATTAGAAAATCGCATCAAATTTACATAAACATCAAAATAACTATTTTGTGCTAGAAAAGACGTTTCATATGAAAATGAGTTTCCATTAACATTCAAAAAGTGGAGTCTGACAATTTTTGTAATGATTCTAGTTCCCTGTATATTTCCAGATTTGATATTCATGAATGCGTAATTTGCGTATTCATAGTTTATGCAAATTAACATATGCATTTTCCAGTATCACAACAATAATGTAACCTCATGAATTTGAGATGAAGGAAACATTTATTCAGACAAAATGTAGAGTTTTCTGTAAAATGCATAAAATTAGCATCGTAAATATCTACAAACATGCAAATGTTCGTGTTCATTGGACTTTCGACGGCTGAGATCATAGGGGGTCCTCCCAGCCCCCCCCCCCCCCCAGTCATGAGGGTGCTTAAAATAGCCCAGTACAGTAATAATAGCAATATAAGGTTAAATAGGCACTCCTGATCGATCAACTGCAGTGTCGTCGTTCTTCTCCACCCGGCCGCCCCATCTCACTTTTTCCTCCACCCCCCACCCCCCCCCCCCCCTCTCTCTCTCTCATCTCTCTCTCTCTCTCTTTCTCTTCTCTCTATGTCTCTCATTCTCTATCATCTCTCGCTCACTCTCTCTATTTATCTTTCTATCTCCACCTTATCTTGTTATACATCTATCTCTCCCATGCAGCCTGGCGCCTAGCGTACGACCATGCAGGCATGCACCCGAGGGGGCCGCATTTGCATTATGCATCGTGCACGCCCTAGCTACTCCTCCGACTATAGGTTGACACGCATCAATGCAGAGAGAAGGTTGTTGTTTAATAAGCCAGTTTCGTAATGTAACCAAATTTAATGCATACGTCTTTGTGAAGTGCCTCAATACAAATTATTTCATTCACCTGATAAGAATAATAGTATTTCAATAGTCAGAATGTCAACTGCATATATTAAGTTGTTGCCAGGTTGGACAAACATTATGGCTTGACCTACCTAGCAACACTTAATATATGCAGTTGCATTCTGACTATTGAAATACTATTATTCTTATCAGGTGAATGAAATAATTTGTATTGAGGCACTTCACAAAGACGTATGCATTAAATTTGGTTACATTACGAAACTGCTATATTTAGGCAAATCAGTCACTTTATGACCATTATTGCCGAATACTATAACAAATTTGTTTTGGATTCAAATTTACGTATATACACTCATATAATATGCACGTGTATAAGTCTTCTTCTTCTTCTTAAAAAAAACAGTAAAAAGGGGGGTAGATAATGATTCATGTTAGATAACCGATCGCCCTCCTTTTTTTTTTGCGCTTTCGTGGAAAACCCGCTCGTGATACGTTTCGGGGGGGGGGATCCCTATGTCTCTCCAACGCGGACAGGGGGCGCAATTTTATCACCGCACTATTAAGAGGAGGGTGTTTCACGTTTCTTTCCACCCCTCTTCATCTCTCTCTCTCTCTCTCTCTCTCTCTCTCTCTCGCTATCTCCTAGACTCTTGTCGGTAATCCTTTTGTATTCTTCTTCGATTTTCCCTCCTATCTCTACTATCGACATTTTTTAATACAACGGTGTATTCATCTTTGCATTGAAGACTTTCGTCAATGCCCTATTTGTAATTTATATTTATTTTATGTAGATAACTTGTAATTAATATCAATGTTATTTGCTGGTAATGTTGTCTTCTTGTTAATACTGACTTGCTGAAAAAACAGCCTTGAGGCTGAAAGCAGGGTTTATTACCGTATTAAAATAAAACAAACAAACAAACAAATAAACTCTCTGTTTCAAAGTATCATAAGCCGATTGGGGCATGCGCCCCGGCACGCCACACGACTATAGCTACACCCGCCAGTGACCTTTCCCCCAGATACAATATGCATCCCTCTCTCCTCATCCTCCTTTTCCCTTTTTTCTAATCTTTTTAAACCGAACGATAACGATCTTGAGCGCTCTCGCAGCACACGCATCCATGCTCTATTATCTGGCAAATCACACACATTATTTTACAAGGTATCTGATATAGGCAATATGCAGGACCTAAAATAGCTTTGGATTTCACCGCAAAACATCTCCCTAAAACTATTACTGCAGACTTCGCCCCTTAACTTGTAAGCTTCTCGCTTTCTCCAGTCCAGAGCTGCGTCACTGGAACTTCAACACGGGGTACCATGCTTCAAAAGCAAGTATTTTATCTTTTTTATTATTCTTCTTCTCACCAGTTTACCAGAATTGATTTAATCTTCTTTTTTTTTCCTTTCTGAATGGGATGCTTTTTTTTTGTTTTTTGTTTTTGTTATGACATGACTTCACTAGTCTTGTATGTATATTTCCATGTATGTATTTTGTATAAACGATAGTCTGCAGAGGAATGTTACATTTTATTTTTTTGATAGTAAAACATGTTGGGTTCGTATATAAAGTTAAGAACAACTTATCTCGGGCGTATCAAGTTTTCAAGATTGTACAATATATTGTACCATCTTGAAAACTTGAAACAATATTTCGCTGCCCGGAGTTGTGTTGTGTGAAATATTCTCAGTTATCAACTTATAATCATGCATAATCTGGCATATAGGGCAGAGTTGGTGTAGGCTATTCCGGGATCGAACCCACAACTTTACAAATCAAGTCAAAATATTGAAAGAACTCGATTATACGATACTCCTACAAGCTTTTAAAAAAAAGTGTGAATACGCTGATGCAATTGATTCGATTCCATCTATGTGTCGATGCTTCATGATGTAATCTTTCCCATTCATTAATGAATACTCATTTTTTAGCTAACTTCGAAATTTGAATTTTCAATGGGGAACGGTATTTAATATGAAGTAATTATTCCCTGTCAACAAATATACATTAACGTGTTCTATATAAGGACGAAAACCAGGAAGAAAGATGCCCCCCCCCCCCCCCCCCCCCCCCCGGCGAGTCAATGCTTCATTACTCCGTTTTACTAGTACTTGACTGTATCCCCCCCCCCCCCCCCTTCTCTCCTCTCTCTCTCTCTCCCTCCATTTATTATATACCGAGAAGGCGGCGAGAAGGAGAAGTAAAAGATTTTCAAGGACGACGAATAATTATTTGATTATGAATCCGCAAAGATACTACCCGCTTTCGAATCAGCATGCGTTGTTGGTGGTGTTATTCACGCCTGCTACAATGTTATCGAGGATATACATGGCAAGAATAACATTTATTGTAAAGGAAAAGCTTGCTCTTACGAAACAACCAGGTAAATGATTCGACTACATAATAAACAGGCATAATTCGGAACAACGGAAGTAACGATACAACTACATAATTTAACAGGGATAATTAGGTTCATTATGGGACGATAGACTACCCAATTTGAAATAACGGGAAGTTTTTTTTCTAGATGATAAGGTATAATACGCTTGACATATAACACAGGGCTCAGTGAATACGCGTAAATCCTTTGGTGCGCGCAGTTTTGCATTCACACGGCGCGGCCGCTTTTATGCGCGGTTTTTTACGGAGCGGTATCTGAACAATACGGCAAAAAAAGGGAAGAGAAGAGAAATATAAATAAAGAATTTTGTTCATCGTGAAAAGAAGGTTATACAATCCCATTCTTATTCTCCATCCTTCGATTACCCTGTTCGCTGACATGTCGTCCTTGTACCCTAGAGCGATAGTGCTCTTTCACGGCCGGACATTCGCTATGCTGATGATTACATCCTTTTAAAGAGAAGGTTGAGTTCTGGGAATGATCAACCTTTTCTGGTCGGTTCTACACCGTTTCTTTCACAATGCAATCGCATGACCAGAACTCAACTTCATCTTTAAGAGCTTAATACTAAAAGGCGCTAA